GTTGCTGAGATCGAGAAGCTGGAGGGAGGTCAAGTTCCCCAAGTACGGGGACAGCGAACCGGACATGTATGTGTCCACCGGGAAGTCGTCGCCCGTGGAGAGGCCCGGCCGCGAGACGTTCACGACTCGGCCGGTGGAAGGGTCGCACGCGACGCCGGCCCAGGAGGCGCAGCAGTCGGACGACGGAGCCCACGACCGGAGGAGATTGGAAGGGTCCGACGTGATCCGGGACTTGAAGTGAAGCAATGCCTCTTGGTCCACAGGGTGACATGATTCAACAACGATCAGGGCACAGAATAAGGTTGCCGAAAGTGAGAAAAGGACGGTAACCGACAATGCTTTGGGGCGATTGGTTGAAGTATGCATCTTTGAGGGAGATCTGGAACTGTTTCGAAAAGGATGTCTCCTTGGCGAGAGTGAAAAAGGGTGCGAAGAAACAGCGTGCATGTGTGTGTGCGCGTCACGTGAGATTGGTTAGTGCGTCAAGCAAGTGTGCAATTTTTCTGCTCTGGCCAAGAATCACGAGGACACTTCTGTGGTTTTACTAAAATAACATATCTTTCGCCTAAAGCATGAGTATTAGGTACGACTTGAAGGAAGAAGGAAGAAGAAGAATTCCCTCGCTAAGGACGAAGAATGGAGGGAAGACCAAAACCATTTTAATAGCAGATGACACTAGTTTCTGTCTGGCATGGGATGTGCCGGTCTCGCACAGGTTTCGAGAAGCTGGGCTTGACTTCGTGAATAAACTATTAGTAGGTGGCGACCATTATTATCTGCCCTATCATTCTCACGAGAATCTTGAATTCCATGACTAAGACTTCTCCGGGAGGAGGAGCAAAACCTAGACTGCATTATCCAGTGTATCTTCCTTACTGTTTACAAGAAAAAGCCGGTTTCCTCGCCCTTGCGCGCTCGCGGGGAGGGAGAGAAGAGGTTCGGGTCCTCGTCGCAACGAGCTCGAGCTCGAGCTCGAGGCGGGCTTGCGGGAAGATGAAGATGATCATTGTCCACATGATCCATGGACCGTGAAGCAATCCTTTTTGGTCCTGCTTAGCGAGCTGAAGCTTAACGTGGTCGGTGCCTTCGTCGTACAAGAAATTGTCACGGGCGAGATCGCTTGGTCCTTACTACAGGGTTGGTTCTTGAATTATTGCGAAACAGAGTGTCGTGTCATGAATTTGGGGAATGATTCTCGGCGGTGCACCCTCCCATATATTCAATTGTCAACACAGGCTGCTGCTGTTCCCAATTTCGCTATTCAATTCTCGAGATATTTTATGGATTTGGAGTTTTAACTACCTAACGTGATGAGCTTTTTCAATGTCCAATGATAAAGAAAGTCCAGGATAATTGCCCGCTTGTTTCCAATATTATGGCGCGCAGTCCAATCACAATGCTGTTTTTTCCTCCAGATATGTTCCTAGTTCTGGGGAAGGGGGGTGAAATAGAATTTGAATGTGGGTTTTGATTAGAGGTGAGCAACCGGGCTGGTTCGAATGCGGAAATCAGATTCCTCCGTACCGAATCGCCGTTACCCGACCGGTTCTAGGAAGAAATGGTCCAGTTCTGGGTTCCGAACCCTGCAACCGGCCTTTAAACGGTTTGGTTCCAATTCTTATGTCAGAGCCGCCGATTCGACCCGAGAAACAACCGAGTAGGCCAGTTCTAGGGTCGAATCGGCTTAAAAACCGGTCTTATACACCTTATTTGAGGGGAAAAAGGAAAAAAAATAGTGAGATGCGACACGGGAGAATAAAACCCATGACTTCTAGCTCGAAATAGGCACACAAGATTGGGAACTAGCATATAATCAATTATATGATCGTTACAAAGCAAACTTGAGTCTCATGTGGAACCGGGAACTAGCATTGAGGCAACCAGTTCGGTTTTTGGCCGATTCCAAGTATAATCATTTCGGTTCCCTAATCTATTTTTTCAGAATTGGGACCTAAAAGGTATCTTCTAGGTTTTACTTTCAAATTGACCCATTTTGGAATCGCTTAGGCTGCGCATGGCAATCATTCTCTGCTCAAAATCTGATTCTGGGCAGAAATAATTCTTTTTGATTCTGTGCCCAAAAACAATTTTTAAGCATTTGAAGGCGTTTGGTAACTACCCAAAATTTTTGTTCTTAGAATAGAAAAAGAACAGAAATACGTTTGATAACTACACAAAATTTTTTTTTATTAATAATATTTTAATAATATTTTGAATTTTTTAATATTTATTTCTTTTATTTTTCTTTCTTTCCCCTTCCTTTCTTGGCCATGGCCGGCCGCCGTCACCGGCGATTGGCCACAAGCCAGGGCCGGCGAAGGCGTCGCGGCCCTCGTCGCCGGTGACGGCGAGGTCGGCTTCGCCTTGGCTGGGCGAGGCCGCGAGCCGCCCTCGCCTAGGTGGTGAGGGAGACCCTCACCAACCACCGGTGAGGGCCGAGACGCCCTCGCCGGCCACCGGCGACGGCTGCGACGCCCTCGTCGGCCCTGGCCTGTGGCCGATTGCTGGCAGCCGGCGGCTGTGGTCGGCGGGTGGCGGGGCCGAAGAACAACAACAACAAAAAAAAAGAAAAAAACCAAGAAGAATCCGTTCTAAAAAAATTGTTCCAAAATCAAGAAGCTACTTTTTTTTTTATTCTTGATTTTGTTCCAAAACTAATTATGAACACAATTTTTTGTAAAATTGTGCTCGGGCACAAAAATTTTAACAAACGGATTTCTGTTCCCAAACTGATTCTGGGAATAAAAGAACAGAATCAATCACTATTTGGCAAGTTGCCAAACAGGACCTTACTCTTAATTTTGATGTATTTTCGAAATGCAAGAACATGATGATGCTATCCTATTTAAATGTTCTTTTTAACATGACATCCAATAGTGACCAAAGAAAAACATGACATCCAATGTTCGAGCTCAAGAATGAGGTTGACCAAATTTTATATGAGGCTTTGGAATGATAAGGTGGAGACCTAATGTTAAATTAAGCGGAAGGGAACAGATTGGATACAATCATGATGCCGAAAGTATGACACGTCTATATAAGAAATATTGCGTCTTGTAATCAACAGAGATGTCAGAGTAATCCCATTTTTCTTAAGCTGCGTTTGGTTCAACTTTCTCGAAGAGCTTTGGTTCGGCTTTTGGGGCCTTTTTTGGCCAAATGCTGGCCTTGGCAAATCTGAATGCCCTAGGCAGTGGACTTGCTTTGGCTTTCAACATTTGCAGAAGCCCATTTATAGGGTTAAACGATCTTTTAAATCCAAAACTACCCTCACTAATTTTTTCTTTTTTGGATTTTGCCTTCGTTGTTACTGTACATCTTCTCTACGTGAGAGTGTTCGGCAAGGCCATATTTGGCCAACGAGGTTGCGCCACCCGAGGCGAATGTTCCTAGGTTCCCACGACCCAAGCGGCGGTCGCTTGGGTCTTGCAACCTCCATGAGTCATGTAAAGGTCAGGCAACCTAGGCGAGGGCTGCCTGAGGTTGGGCGACCTTAGGCAACGGCCATTGGGGCTAGATTTGGCTCGCTGGAGGCCTAAACCCTTTGCCAGAGCCGGCAAAGGGTTTGAGTTTTTCCAAAAAAAAAAATATATATATATATATAAAAGGCAACCAAAACCCTTTGCAAGAAAAAGTTTGCCAAACACTATTTTACCGAAAGTTGCTTTATATACGAAATGCAATTTGCATTTCCCTAAAGGCTTTTAGGCTAAAGGCCTTTGCATTTTTCCAAAATCTATTTCCAAAGTCGAACCAAACATAGCCCAAGAGTGCTTGCGACGATCGCAATCACGAGGAACGTGTTAAGAAATCGCATCACGACGCATCGTCCTTAACCCGTTCACGCGACGAACGCATCCTTCGGATTATCATATGCCCCAACATATTAAGTACATTACCCCCATCAATGTCCAGGATCAAGATCAACCCAAGTTCACTTCGCCTCAATGGGCAAAAATCCTAGTTCCTCAAATTCCGGGCAACCGTCGGGATCTGCTCTACGACCTCGGGGCCACGGGGGATGGCCATGGAGAGATCCCAAAGCAACCGCAGTAAGAGAGGTCGGTCAATCGAGCGCCTTATATCCACGGCGGGACGGACGCTTTCCGACGATCGCCGGAGAACGGTTTCTCGGGGAGATTACATGAGGATCTTACTCATCATCGCGATCGATCGATCGATCGATGACCCTTTGCTATGTCAACATGTTCATGAAGCGAATTGCTCTCTCGGAGGAACATGAGCTTCGGGTCATTCTCCGTTCGAACTTTCGGGACGATTAGGCCCACGCGTGATGGGGCTCCAGTACCATCTGTGGTCCAGGATATATGAACAGGGACAGACAGACGGTCCGTACCGCGCGTGCGCGCCTACGCGCCTCGAAGCGTGCGAATGTGTGCTCCCCCTTCCGTCCCATTTTGGTGTCAGAACAGAAATGACGAAAGCGACAAAGAGAAGCGTCTCTCCCTCTCACGAGTACACGAGAATTGCCGGACAAAATCTTCCGCAAACCATTTAATTTTAGAGTTAATAGTACAAAACTTATACATTTATAATAAATTTATTCAAAATTAAAAATTTGATTATCAAAATACTGAATTAGATGATATTCAATTGCTAAATTGGATGAGATATATTAATAAACGGATGTACTAATTTAAAGCTTTATTATCATATTTTTGTGTTTTCTCGTGATATTAATTCAATTCAACCAAAATTAACGAAATGTAAATTTATTACAAATATACTGATTTAGAATTTTTAATGATCAAAAAATTAATTTTGCATATTTTTATAAAAAGTGTATCAATTTGAAATTTTCATGGTATTAACCGTTAATTATTAAGGACAATTTAGTTTAGTTTTTTTTGCTTGATTTTCTCTCCCCCGTTTCCATTAACGAATCCAATTTTTACACTCGCACCTACACTAAAAGAGAAGATAAACCCAAAAACCGAAAAAAGATTATTATACATCATCAGCAGCAGCAGCACCGCCACCGCCACCACCACCACCACCACCACAACGTAGTCACGTACAACGTAGTACGTACAAACAGCGCTCTAAGGAATGACAGGGCCGAAGCTCTTGCACTCCGCCGCCGACCTCTGATCGGCCCCCTGGCAGAAGAAGAAGCGGGCCGGGCATCTGTACAGGCAGTTCCCGCCCAGGCTCACCCTCACCTCCTCCTCCTCGCCGCCGCCCCACCCCAGCCCCAGCAGCGGCGCCGGTATCGGCCCCATCAGGTAGTTCCCGCCCAGCATCAGCCTCTCCAGCCGCGCCGCCCCCTGCGCCGGCGCCGCCGCCCTCTGCGCGTACTCCGTCGGTATCGCCCCGGAGAACTGGTTGTTCTCCAGCGCCAGCGCCGACAGCGTCGGCATGGCCGCCATGAACGCGGGGAGGAGCCCCCTGATCCGGTTGTCGCTCAGGTCGACCGCGATGAGCTCGCTCTGGGGGAACGGGGAGGTCGGGGATTGTATGGAGTCGAAGCCGTTGGAGGAGAGCGTGAGCTGCTGGAGCGACGGGTGGGTGAACAGGGCGGAGGGGACCGGGCCGGCGAGCTTGTTGTGGCTCAGGTCGAGGACTTGGAGCGAGCTCGCGAGCTGGAGGGTCTCGGGGGCTAGCTCTCCCTCCAGGGAGTTGTTCCTCATCGTGAATTGGACGAGGGACGGCGGGAGCGCTCGTGGGATCTCGCCGGAGATCGCGTTGTCGCTCGCGTCCAGGTAGAGCAGGCTGACGAGCGAGCCCAGCGCCCCCGCCGGCAACTCGCCGGCGAGCTTGTTGGACTGGACCTCGAGCCGGGTCAGGCTGGAGAGGGCGCCGAGGCTCGCGGGGATCGAGCCCTCGAGCTCGTTGCCGTCCAGGTAGAGCTCCTCGAGGCTGGAGAGGGAGGAGACCGAGTCGGGGATCCAGCCGGAGAGCGAGTTGCGGGACAGGCCGAGCCGGCTCAGCCGCGTCAGGTTGGAGAGGGAGGCGGGGATGGGCCCGGCGAAGTAGTTGCCGGAGAGGTCGAGGGTCTGGAGGTAAGGGAGGTCCCAGGAGACGGAGGCGAGAGGGCCGGAGTAGCCGGCCTGGTCGAGGGCGAGCTCGGTGAGCCGGCTGGCGCCGGAGTCGTCGACGGCGTCGCAGCGGAAGCCGCAGGTGAACTTGTCGCTGAAGAGGGCGTCGCAGGGGTCGGCGGCGAAGTCCCACGAGGCGACGCACGAGCCGGGGCTCACCGAGCTGGGGTCCAGCGCGCCCTTGAGCTGCTTCAGGACCGCCGTGTCTCCCCAGTAAGTCCCCGCGCTTGCTCCGAGCAAGAGCGACAGCTGGGTCGATAGGAAGAGCAAGATCACGGAAGATCGAGAGCCCATTTTCTTCATGAATATATTCTGGCAATTGAAAGATGATCAGCTGTTGCGAGGCTCCACGAGGAAGAAGATAAGAGAAAAAGGCAGAGAGTGCTCTGCTTTTGCAGCAGAGAGAGAGAGAGAGAGAGAGGGATGATCGGGAACCGTCCGATCGAAGAGGATGGTTTCTCGATGGAGGAGAAAGTGGGGAGGGAGAATTTAATGGGTGGTGAGAGAAAGAGTACAAACTGCAAAGTGGGGGAACAGCATTGGCAATGGCAAAGGCAAAGGCAAAGGCAGAGGCAGTGAGGGAGAGAGAGAGAGAGAGAGAGATGTCTTGATCTCAGCGATCTTTTTAAGCTCACGGGGCTCACGGGAAAGTCTGTCAGAGTTTTCTCCCTCCCTCTCTCTCTCTCTAGTCCTTGAGCTCAAATTGCCATGGAGGATTGAAGCTACATGCGTGTCTTGTAGCGAGGAGAGGAGGAGATGAAGAATTATAGAAACAGAGGGATGTTACTGTTTCGTTTGGTTTAGGCAGGGGACTGGTCTAGTGCTAGTTGTGGTTCAAAGTTTGGACTAGGATAAAAAGGTTGTGGTCGAGTTGTCCCCGAGGGCAGTTGCTAGTTAGTAACCACCGTAAATTTCTCGTTGAAAACGATACGAGATTATGGTACCTGCTGGGCCCATGGCGGGTCACTCATTCCTGGCCTGGAATTTCATGTGAATGTAGCAACTCCGGAGCAGAAACTCGTAGGACAGAGAGAGGAAATGCTGCCAACAGTGATAAGTGAGGAGAAAATTTGGTCATGCTCCTTGAAGTGTCGATAGGGTAGTATGCTTGAGGTTGTTCTTTTCTCGATTTGAAATCGTATAGTAATTTGGATCCAACCTTCCAAATTTGATACGATGGGGGATCTCGTGAAGCTGTGTTGCAGAGGAATTTAAACATTAGAAATGAGGACTCAGCACTTGTGGAAGTGCAAATTGCAAGTCTCCTTTACCAAGCTCAACTAAATTTTATTTGCCTTGAGTCGTTCCCTTCGATCCATCCGTTCACTTTTCAAACTCACATTGCGCTTTGACATGCGATGCTACGACAAACAAGCTGGCGACAATCGTCGATTGGAACACGCATCACATGCCGAATCAATATGTACTAGTAAGTTTGTGACCCTTAATCACCGTTTGAGAGATATAAGTAGTGCCATCATCATCTGCCCTAACTTTCGAGAAATGGCGTGTTTGAAGGAAAAAAGGTTGCTTTAGAGGCAGCTTTAGCTATAAGCAAAGATCTATCGCTTTTTTCAACCGGAAGGTATGTTCCATTTCACTTACCCTGCTTTCCCTTTTCTAGAGGCCGAGACAAAGATAAAGGAGAAGGCCGAATCATTGAGTGGGGGTTGTCTTTTTAAAGATCCATCAAGCTATATAAGTCCTGATTCCAATACCTGACCTCCCGGAAACTGCATGGGCACTCGAAGTAAGTCTCATCATTGAGACTGTCAATAATTGGAATTAGAACAAAACCAAACGTGTCTTACTTTGTATTCTTTATTACAAAGGGCTCCGGTACCAAATACCATGTGTCCCCACCTTACAGCTATTCTTGGCTGTAGGTCTATTGGATGTCATGCGTGGCGTTGCTATCTTGTTTCTATGTTTTGTAGTATGCCCTGCTTTTCCTTTACTCTGCTCTAACTTTCAATTATGTGCACTGCCGAAATCTAAGCGTAAATCAGGAAGAGCACAGCAGTTTTACTGCTCATATCACGTACCCGTCAGTTTTCAAAACTTACAATTTTTATTCCTACTTTTAATATTAGATTTTAAATTGCATTTCCCACCCAAATTTGCCCAAATTGCCCCCACCCACAAAATATCCTACCCACCCATTCCTCTGTCTCTCCCAACGCCCACTCCACAAGCTCACACCTACAGGTCCAATGCCGACTCTCCACCGTGTGCGCTGCCTTTGCTCCTCCGGGGGCATCGCCAACCTCGTGGGTAGCGGTTGCCGCGCCGACTCGAGGCCAAATTGAGGTCGGGCGACCTTGAATTGGTCACCATGACCGAACTCTACTACATAGCTAGCAAGCTCGAGGCCAAGCACGGACGGCTTCGGTGATCGCGAGCCACAAGCTCAGGCCAAGCTCGCATGGCCAAGCCGCCGCGAGCCTTGATTGAGGTCGCATGGGTAGAGGGCACAGGGAGAGGGGCGGTGGGCCGAGGTTGTAGATGTCGGGGTTGGGCGGTGGCTCGTTCTTGTTTGGGGTGGTTGGCTCGATATTGTGCTGTGCCATGTGAGGAGAGAGAAAGGGCAGGGGCAAGAGGGGTTTGGGTGTAGATTTTGAGGGTGAATGAGTAAATGGGTCTTTATAAGTTGGAATGGGAAGTAAAGTAGAGAATAAATTTTTGCTACTTTCTCTGTACCTAAGTATTGTATAAAGTTATCACGAAGGGTGCAACATTGCATTCAACAAGTTGCTACGCGCGCCAGATATATTGTGTTTTAATGAGGTCTCATGGTCCCAAGAGGTCAGATCGAAAGCGTTTCCTAAACTGAATGCATCTGTATCCAACTCTGAAAAGGCAACACTCAATGCGCTGCTAACATCATAGCACAATAAATTTCATGCATCAAATCCTATCCTCGTTCTTCATATGAGCAGTGACGAAGGCAAAATCTAGAGAACAGAGAAACTTCCGTTAATCTTTAAGAATGAACTCAATGATTGACCATATGTATAACAAGAAAGAGATGTACCTGAGTATCGTTCACTATCACAGAAAGATGACAATACCCATCGAATAAGAAATGTTCCTCCACCATTTCTCTTTGCTCGTCTTTTGGCTATGAAATGACTGCACATTCGAGGCAAGGGTTCTAAATACATCTGTTATCTTGGCATCTTGTCAATGGAAGTATCGAATGAAGAGTAAATATTCTACTCTCCTCAAAGAAAGTTACCAGCAGATGAACTTACCCATCAGACCGTATTGCTCAGGTACCCCTCTGGTGACCACTCAAAGTTACGATTTGCTCCTCGGCTTTCTTTGGCAAGCTTTGCCAAGTGGTGCCTCACAGATCTCTCGTTTATTCCAAATGATAGTTTCATCCCTTTCACCTGTTAATTATTATTGGAAACACATCTTTCAGTGAAACTCGCGGAAGCCAGCATGGGCAGAGCGTCCATTTGCAGCAGCGGAGCTGCAAAAATGAGGTCAAGCAATCCAAAAATATTTCAAGGATGATGGTACCTCAATCAAACAGTTTGCAGTAAGATTTATGTGATTTCCACCAGAAACTGCTGTCCCATTCACATATATTGAACTCCTTCCAAGATTCTTCAAAAAGAAAGTACCATCTCTCTCCAGCTTGATAAGTGCCTGTGTAAAATGAAGTTGTGGTCATCCGAATTTCCAGATACGACTTAAAGAGCAAAGAGACGTTTAAGAGCCACATTGGCCTATAGAATGGAAGAATATAGGAAATCCAATCTTTCACTCTGTAAACCATCATGCAATTGCACCAGGATGTCAGGTAGTTTTGCATACTATAAGTGAAGTTGCTGTTTCCCAAAAAAAAAAGAAAAGGATTTGGCATGTCCGCAACTTAGATATACTTTTCAGATGAAAAAAAAGAGAAATCTCCAAAAATTCTTTTTTTATATAAGAGCGACAATCTTATGATGTTACTAGTGTTTCCATTTATGTTTGCAGCCCCTCTCTGTGTGGGAATCGAGCATCTGTTAAAGAGCACAAACGGCAAACAAATGGAACAACCAGATTGTCATTAAAGAAAGAGTTTGCGAGAAAAATGTCAGAACAGTGTACTGTAAAGACAGAGCAACAGATAAGCCAATAGCAATTATCACACCAAGCAACCACATACAAGTGATCAGACATTAATTTCTATCCCATGCTTACAAGTGCCACGAGCATAATAAAGCTAGAAAAATAGTGAAAAAGGGTGTGTGTCAAAAGTGTCAGATAGACCAAACTACTCAACCTGCCGTCTAGATATTTTGTTAGTTCCTCCTCTTCCCAAGTCAATATCAACCTGAAAATCCTCTGTTTCCCTTCCAAGTACGACCTGAGAAGCAGAAGCATTTCTCAATTCGAAACAAAGAAAAATGACAACCAATAGGCCAATAAGGAGTTGTATTAAGCATACCAACCAGGCAAACACTGCATTACAGCAAATGAGAATGTTTCACAACTAATACAGCCTAGGATTCTTTCTAACCGTAGAACACAACAGTTAACATCCCCGCATTTATATAGCTGATAGCTATCAAAAGGAACAAGTTCCAATAAGTCCATGCGGCATCTAACAAAAACATTATATATAAAAAAAAGGCAATAGTAGTTATTGATCCGTCAATATGCCTAAGAAACTTTATCACCAGTAATGTGTCCTTCAACATGTTAGAACCTGTTAAATCTGGTTTGTTCTAACGCTTAAAACTGGGTCCGGTACTATGAGGAAGGTCTGTCTTGCAATAGAATACATTATCAGATATACTATGAAACGATTGACTGCTTTCAACAACCAGCAACTTCATCGAAAAGCTTACAGAACCAATGTCATGCATGGCTACCCTAAAGAAAAACCACAGACAGGACACGGATACTGCAACAAGCAACACAATTCATTCCTAGATAAAGTTTCCTGTACAATGTGCCAAAGGGGATTGTTTTCTTTGCCTACCCACCCTAGACTGCTTCATCTTGCACTAGGCTTTCCTGAGGTTTCTTCAAATCACAGTGCATATGAAGATTAGATAAAATTTTCAATGAAATAGACTCATTGAGATCGAATTGAAGAAATGCTCCACTTGACATGTTTGAAAGTGCTTTATGCTGCTCGAAGCAATAAATATAGAGGATATTCCAGGTAGCAAATAGGAAAACTTATAACTCAAATCAAAGGTTATAAGTTTGAATGTGCAAACAATCTTAAGTATTCATACAAAAGCAGATCATCTTAGTCCCAATAATTTAATGGACGTGATAAACAGCATGGGTTCCGGTTGGATATGTAGTTTGCCGTTACAGAACAAAAAATTTTAAGAAAAGGAAGTAGCTCCATATAATGCTTACAAGCCCTTGAGTTAGACTATCTTCAAATAATGATCACCTCGTCCTTCCTGATGTAATGCTTTGAATTCTGGCCATATAAAATTGCAAGTGGACCTCCCGAAGCAATCGCTTGTTGTATGAAAGATCCAGCACATCGTTCCAATCTAATGGCGGACTCCCTTTTATCCCCATGTCGATACCTGAAGACTAAAGATTAAACAAAAAGAAAGAACAGAATTTAAGTTGTATAGCAGAGTTCCCTTTTCCTTTGATAGGCAAAAGAAAGCTTTAATAATCAGTCCCTTTCGTGATAAAATCTGATCATATTCTAATTACTGACTTGTACAGTTGCAAAATCCTTTGACCAATAAAAGCATCGATGAATACTAATAATGAAATTAGGATGTGTAGTGTGTGACAATGGAATGAATGTCTACACATGGAAGTCCCGAGGGAAGCCAAAAGCAACAATGAACTTTGTCATGCCCAAATCCAGCTGTGTTACCTTCTCCATTAACATGAGAATCTCGATCACCTGGATAAAAATCCATGCTATGTATCTGAAATTAAATAGCAAACATTTAAAAGAGGGAACATATATATGAAAGTATGCAGGCATGAGAGAAGACAATAATGCTCAAGGCGGATTGCAGCACCACATGTGAGCATGCACTCTTTCCGTGTGCTTGCACTCTTTTTGTTGTGTGTGTGTGTGTGTGAGAGAGAGAGAGAGAGAGAGAGAGAGAGAGAGATTCAAAAGTACAATCATCGGAAAATACCATTTCCCAAATCTCCGTAAGCTTAGAGTCATCATAATCACTTTCGCACTCTTCGTCAACAAATCTTGACAGACTACTGTCTAATTCATGAAAAACAGATAAACTTGAACATTCACCATCAGATAAATTGTCCGTTGGATTACATTCTTTGAGGGACTTGCCCGTAAGTGATCGCTCTGTAGAATTTTGATCTTCAGGTTCTCTATATGGGGGACTCGTCTCTGCAGGAGCATCAATTTCCTCTCTGGTAACCACAATAGCACTTGCAATATTGGGAAACACAGTTTTAATTCCACAACTAGCAGGGAGCTTGTTTGAACCTTCATCTGGCAGTTTGTGTTGTTCCACTGACTGATAATTTATGGAAGTTTTGGGAGGATTTTCTTCTGTCTTGAGGAGGCTTATTTCTTCCTTACTTTCATTGTTAGCAGGTGAGGAGGCATCACTCTGGGAGTCTTTGTGGCTTTGACATGTTACAGAAGAAAAAGGTACTGTGGACGAAGCTAAATCATCATGCCATGGAATGTGTGGATCCTCTCTGTTCAATGAGCATACCATCATTTCATCAGAAATTTCTCCAAGATCATGAATGGATGATTCATCAACTTCTAAAGAATTAAAAATGTACTCTCTGCATTGAGCAGGCTCTGACATGTCAGAGACAACAGCAGTTGCTGAAAATGTGAAATCCTGACCTCCAAGACACATCTCTCTATTCAATTTTGGATCTCGAGCTAAAAGCAAAACATCTCCATTGTGTCCAACACCATGATGGTTCACCGCATGCCCGTGCAAGCTCCCAGAATAACCTTCGCCTTCATGTAAATCTATTTCACACGCCATATTTAATACACAATTCGAGAGATCAATATGGTCATTTGCTGAAGTAGCAACAGATGCATGAACTTGACCATGGGTAAGCTTGTCTGGCAATACCTGTCCCGAAATTGCAATTTCATCATGGTTTGATGAACTTATGTTCAGACTATCCAATTTATTATGAAGTGCATTCCTTTTATCACCTGGACTTGCGCTCAACAGCTCTTGAGCTAAAATTTCCTCAGTTGTCCTTGACAAGTTATGGTAGGAGTTACTGTCTAGGGGTGCAGTTGGTGCACCTGATATACCAGGAATAAAGCAATTCCTGAAGTCAGCACAATCTTCTCCTATAGTAGAGCGATCATGAGCATTACCCTGTTCAAAAGCGTGATCACCGTCACTTTTTCCTGATTGCTTGACTTTGACGAGTGGAAACTCTCCAGGATGACTAATATAGTAATCCTTTCTGATAGAATCATTTTGCTCACTTGCTTCAGTTATACCCCGATTCAGACCATTTCTGTGGTGCTGGATGCCCATCTTTGTATCCTGAACTAATTTATGGCTCCTAATAAGGTGTCCATAAACAAAATCTTCGGAACTCTCGTGAGACTTAGCCCTGAGTAAAGAAGTAAAACGAGGAGCACTATTTTGACTGTGCATTCGCTTACTCCTGACATAATAAAACCGACAGGTGTTTTGAGATTTTCTTTTTGCTCGAATGTCCGTGTTTTCCTTGCGTCCCCCAGATCTCACACCAGAGAGTTCAAACTCAGTCCCGATCGGAGAAGCTCCAGCTGAATCAGGATTTGCACTTCTGTGATGCTGGACGTCCACCTTGATATTCCCAACTACATGGTCGCTCCTGATAAGGTGTCGATAAACAGAATCTTCAGAAACCATACCATTAGCTTCGGAGGAACAAGAAACACGAGGACTGCTTTTTCGCCTGCGCACTTTCCTCCTTGCATAACAAAATCTCCAGGCACTTTCAGATCTTCGTTTAGCTCTAACATCTACAGTTTCTTTGCATCCCCCAGATCTCGCACCAGAGAGTTCGAAGTCAATCTCTGCAGAAGCTACGGTCTCGGCCGACATTGCGTGGCCGAGGGGGGATCGATTGTGGTGGACTAGCAGTCAATGCTCCAACACAGAAGTTCCATGTAGAAGCAGAGTGCTTCCTGCTCTACAGCTCACTCGATTGCTTCCGGCGAAAGCAACACTAGCTCGCACCTATAACACAGACACAACATCAACACAAATAAACACAGGCAATCCGCGAACGCGCACGCATTTTCCATTGCATCAAGCCGAAATCGAAGCACAATTCAACCTCTACACATGCGATTCTGCGAAGGTAACGATTGCCTGAAGAGGTGCACATTGCGCAGACGCCACTGAACAAACTTTAACACGAGAGGAATCAACTATCAAAACACATAACTGGCCACACAATCGGCAACCGCGACGCAGCGTCGCCGTTCACCTGCTCCCGACGACGAGGATCTAGACATCCTCATCTAACCTCCGTCGTGATCTGAACCGGCGAAGCCGGCGGAGATCGTCGGAAGATCAAACCGAACGCAACTTTCGTCTCGATCCGCCGGAAGGAAGAAGGCGGCGGCGGCGGCAAACCGACAGGCTATTCCGGACATCGGAGAGGAGAAGAGAGTCGAGCGGCGTACCTGAGAATCTCTCGAGCGAGGAGGCTCCGAAGCAAGCGCCGCCGCCATCTCTAGCGGGATTCTCCCCCTCGAATTTCGAAATGGAGAGAGAGAGAGAGAAAGTTGTTGCAAATGCAGGCAGCGCGAAACCAAGCGGAACGCTTTCAGTTTTACCGGGAACTGCGAAACGGGAAGAATGAAAACGACGGCGTTTTTAGAAGCCAATATAAAAATTCATTTTCCGATTTTTAATATACTGATTTTTCGGCTCAATTCCAAAAGACAAAAAACACCAACTTTAACAATTTTGGCCCGAACTTTTTTTTTTCTCATGAAAAATCACAAACTTACAATTAAATCCAAAATTTGACATGACCAATTTGAAAATTTCATACCACGGGGGCCGGATTTGGAATTCAAGTAAAAGTTTGTACTTTTTATTGAGACAAAAAAAGTTTGGGCTATAATTGTCACTCAAGGTAAAGTTGGTGTTTCTTAGCCCCTAATTTTTCTTGTGTGTTCTTTATAATTGATATTCTCAAAATTAAATTTATTATTATTAAATATGCCTGACTCACATATGAAACTACTATGATATGACAAACAAATTGTGTCACTGGTTGCGGTTACTAAATAAAGCTATTGACAATACGTTACGTTACGTTACGTAGGCTATCGAATTTTTGGTGACGCAATATTGTTATTCGTAGCATTGCTCAAAAGCGAATCAACAACATATAGTGCCATTCTATTTCTTCTTCTGTATTGTATTGGATATAGGTTAATAAGATTGTTTATTTTTTTTTTTGTAACCCAGGGAACCCCCGCACGGCGGACAGCCGGGAGGTAAACCCTGGGGGCGACACGTACTAGTTACCACACACGTGCACCGGTTAAGTCACCCTACGGCGCCCGGGATTTGAACACTTAACCTTTTGCGAGAGGAAGAATGCCCTTTCCAGCAGCGCCACCCAGGCGGGTGGTAAATAAGATTGTTTATGATAACGATAAGTTTCTATTTTTAAATTTAATATCGAAATTTCAATATTGAACATAGGTAAATCCTAACAAGGTATGGAATCATCCTTACCAAAAAAAAAAAAAAAAAAACAAGGTATGGAATCATAGTTTCTTTCGAATTTATTACAAAGGGAAGTAAGTTTTATTTTGATGGAAAATTCCATGCAAAAATAATACTTTTCTGTTTGGCTTGACCCAAACAAATCCTGCTTATCATTTGAATGTTATATTTACTCCTTTTTTTTTGTTTTTTTGCAACGGTTCGTTTTCTAAGGCTCATTTTATTTTGCAAAAAAATGAACGATGCTGAAATTTTTTTTGTAAAAATGATCGTTCGTATCGCTTGAAATGATTAGTCAATGAAAAATGTTTTCAAGCAATACAAACGATTATTTTTAGAAAAAATATTTTTCAAATTAATCATTTTACGCGAAAAAAGTGGAGCTAAAATAAGTGGATCCTTTTCGATAGCCAAGCAAGACTCCATCACAATACTCGAAATAATTCTTAATAGTTATACCATTTTCTGTTTTATTTTTTTGGTACAGAAATTCTAAAACAGAAGCAACTGCCCCACGTAGTCTTGTCAAGCAGGTACGTTAGCTTTAGCTAATGCTAATTCCAGCTCCAATGCATCTAATTTGATTGTGCTCTCATTATTGAAAGAAACTTAAAAAATGAAAAATAGAATAATTACGTTACTACAAGTTCAGGTTACAAGTAATGAAGAACAGTAAGCAGTTTCCACAGGGAAAAAGCATGGCTTGGCCATCCAAACAAGGCTTCCATACTCTCACACACCACAACTTTTCCTGGAAGAAGATTAAAGCAGAACATTGCGATCTGAATATAAACTACATGTTGGATGCATAAAGACATTCTCATCAAGCCAAAGCTATTGTAAATCAGAAGACTATGGAGACCCAGGGAGTTAGATATAATATCGTCGCAAGAGACCAAAACGCTAGCCACTCGCGCTACTTCATGCATGGATGAGCTGATAGTATTGCTTTTTGCACGTACTGATAGAGTTTACTCATTGCAAGCAAGAGACTAGACAACAGCTTGTCCATTATTCTGATCTCAAATCCACATACTAACAGTAATTGCAAGAAGGAACGCACTTCAGTTAACTCTCGGACTCCTGGTCCTTGTCTCTTTTCTAGTCTTACTTCTTAACATCCCCCGAAGAAGATTACCAACATGAGATTTAGGTGGAACTTCCGAAAATGTTCATAAGAAAAAGAAACATAAAACACCCAAAGTAGCACCATGAAACCGTGACTTCAATTAAGGCTCAAGTCGGGCAGAAAGTGTCCTTCACTGGAGAGATCATGGTCACTCGGATGAAGCCGGAGAGCATACATGGCCGATGCTCCGTTGTGGTTGGCCAAGTTGGTGATGGCAGATTCATAATCTCCCTCAATATCTTCACCTAGTCCATATTGCAGATCCTCATATGTAGCTCCCTTAATTTTTTTTTCAGTCGGCCAAACCACACAAGATGACATGGAGACACATACGCATATAGTGACGGATCAGTTCTTGGCATTATTGATGAACAGTCCAATATTGAAAAAATCTTTAGAAGGAAATGTACGTGAAAAATGGTCTGATTTAAAACAAGCTTACGGATTCTAGAAGGAGACCTCCATATCTTTGCTCTAAGGCTTTCACCTGAAAATGAACAAAAAGAGCATATAAATGGCATGAGGATGACAAGAAAGACAACTAAGCTAGCTAGCTAACAACATTATAGAAAGAAGAAACAATAAATATGGAGAACTTTAGTTTGCCCACCTTTTTCTTGTGAGTATCAGTTTGAGTCTTGAGGACATGGTACTGAAAAATGAAGGTTGAGAATGGAATAGTTAGCTCAAACGAGTTGTGAATTTCTAGCTTGGTCGATCAGTTAAAGAAGCAATTTATATGGGGCATTTATTCCACAGTAGCGCACATAGATATGTCCATGCTAAAAACACACATCTACTTATTGGTCCGCCAAACTTCCTATAGGCGCAGCCAGTAGCGATGGATTTTTATGGATTTTTCACCGTGCGATGCATCATCGGCGGCAACATGACAGTATTTCTTGCCATAATAGTCACCGAGACTGCTTTTTAGCCTTTAAAAATTACAAGATACAGCCACAACATGCTGCCAACTTGAAAGGAGACGGGAAAATCTCGTTTCTTATTAACCGAAATAATACTTGAAGAAAGAAAGCTGAATACGTAGTAATAAAGCTTTGTGGATGCGAGTTGACATTGGATATCTTATGAGATAGACTTCCAAACATTAGCGCAAGAGAAATTCAGAAGAAGTGAAATTTTTCTGCGCAACAACTTCTCCAGAAATAATGGAAGCTCGTAAAAGCAATTGCTGCCTCTAATCATGCTAATAGACTGCTCTAGAATCATGATCTTGCAAACAAAAGTGAGGTCCAAACGCTACTACCAACAAATACAGGTCCTGGACCAGACATCTATTTAAGGTTATAGCCGTGGCTATGTCTATGATAATTTTTGTTGAGGATCAAGTTTAAGATAAATGTAAATCTATGTTGAATGGACATCCAATAAAGAGGATGCGCATATGGTGATGCAATTGAGAAGATGGGGGTGAACCGAAAGGGGCTAATTCAACAGGAGCTTTCTGCATGTCAGAGACAAACTTGCTCCACGCTTGAAAGTTTCTCGAGGCATGCAAGCAGTTGAACTGTTTGGACCGGCTTCGCACAGCTAGGTTTTCCAGAACCTCTGAAGTTTGAACTGAGCAACAAGTTTCAAGACCATCATGCACTTTATTGCATTTTAAAGGAGAAAGAAAAACTAGAAATGATAGTTTTTGGTGTATCCTCATCTTTTTACCGATCCACCTCCGATACCATTTTAATCTTGAGACACAAGCTAGGGTATAACCCCATAATTAGCGCTATCTATCTTAGCAATTCTTCAATCCAACATCCATTACCTTTTCTGACTGATCTTCCTAGCAAGCAATATAGAAAATTAATCGAAAGTGCGGTGCGCGTATCAAATATGTAACCTTTCTTTGCCGCACCGACTGCACGGAAGACTCGATTGTTTGCTCAAGACTGTACAGTTCCGTGAAGCTCAGGTCGTTCAATTCATGGCCCAATATCTGCCTGCAAACGGAATAACAAATATTTTCCTCTCAAATCTTGAGACATTTTAAGTACAGATTTTGTGAAAGAACGCAAGAGGTTGAGTCCTCTGGGCTTTCATTTTCTATTAGCTGACTGCCGATCCGAGCTTAACTATATAAACTTGCCTTATCTCCTTCCGGAGATTGCTATTGACCTCCTTTAGTTTCCTCAACTCCTCTTGCATTCTCTGTATGCAGAAGACCCACAACAACCATATCTTTCATTCTTAAAGAAATATCAAGAAGACTGTGTGGAACAAAATGAGCGAGAGAGAGAGAGAGAGAGAGAGAGAGAGAGAGAGAGAGAGAGAGAGAGAGAGAGAGAGAGAGAGAGAGAGAGAGAGAGAGAGAGAGAGAGAGGGTGAACATCGTAGTGGGTAGTCCACAGATCGACCCCAAGAGCCTTCTGGTAATCATCGATCATCCTTTTTGTCCTAAACAAGCAGCGAAAATTAGCCAGAGCTTAAAAAGAACAAAGAAGACATCGATCTTGAATTCGCACCCACGCACACATGCACGTTGTAGCGTCGAGAAAAGGAAGAAGATAGGTGAAGAATCTGAACAAACAGAAAGTTGAAAAATTCGCGAGAAGGGTTGATTACGTGGTGGTGGGGCTGATGTACTCGTGGAGCTTCTTGTTGCCGGAGAGCATGAGGATGGAAACCCTAGCGTCGCAGAGGACGGTGAGCTCGTGGGCTTTCTTGAAGATGCCATTCCTCCGCTTCGAGTAGGTCACTTGCCTGTTCGTGTCGTTCTCTATCTTCTGTATCTCTATCTTCCCTCTACCCATCTCCTCCTCCTCCTCCTCCTCCTCCTCCTCCTGCTCGATCTGGATCAATCTCTCTCTCTCTCTCTCTCTCTCTCTCTCTTCAAGCTAAAGGAAGATGGTCTCTCTCATCTTTTTCAAGAATGGGGAATAGGACTATTAGGGTAAATAAGGAAGAAAAGGAGGAGGGGCCTGTAATAGTTTGACAGAAGAATAGCCAATCGCAAGTGATGCTGACATTGGTTCCCTCTAAGAAGATGTCCACACGACACAAGAATTCAAGACATTATCGAAGGTTTCATTTCGTCCAATGAATTGTGCTTAAATCACACAGATCAAGAAATGACACGGATACGACGTCGTGGAAACAGGGTAAAACCCAAGGGCAAGCTGCGCTACGCAGAAGGGTGCAATACGAATTAAAAGCAACCGAAAAAACTCTCACAGCGTAAATAATAACCATTTCATTTCTCCGTATGTTTCTATTTTTGGGAACAATAAAATTTCATTTGGCAACGCAATTTCATTTTTTTCATGTCTGAGACAAATTTTTAGCCCATAAATAGATTTGGAACAAAAATGAAAAGTAAATTATTTTTTTACTTTTCTATTTCTGAAATAGAAACAGACATAATAACACTCTTATTTCTCGCCCTCGCCGCTCGCCACCGCCCCCCATCACACCGGCCGCCCACCGCTGCCCGCCAACCGTCCACCACCACCCGTCTCCACCAATCGGTCGCCGGGAACAGAAATTTAAGAATAACCTATTAAATAAACTTCTATTTTGAGAACAAAAATTTTGTGTCGTCATTAAACGCTACTTTTTACTTAGAAACTCGTGAATAGAAATAGATTTTAGCCAAGGAAGAGAATGGTTATCATTTGCGCCCTCAGTGTGCCGATTCCCGAAAAGGGGCAACTCAGTGTTTATTCTAAAGAAATTGAATAAATATGCTTAAACCCAAGTTAACGTGAAATTAGACCTTAACAAAATAACTAAAATAGAAAAACTAAGAATTAACAAATGGGCCAAAGATGGTGCTGAAAATGGGTCTAAGAATACAAAATTAATAGCCGCAAAATATGCCTAAACAAGGATTGTGAGAGTGCAAACCAACCACAAAGGGGTTCCTTAATCTGACCATAGTATAAAAGTTTGAATGAACTTTTCGGGGATAAGGACAGCAGGAGTGCCATAACTTTCATACGACGCTCATTTGAATGTCATAACTTTTTTTTTCGCTCACTTAAGTGCCATATCGGAGTAAAATAGATCATTTGAGTGCCACTTCCGCCAAATCATCTTATGTGACTTTTTTTAATTAATTTTCCATTCGATGTGGATTTTTTAAATGTTTTTTTATTATTTTTTGAATTTTTTTTTATTTATTTTTTGATTTTGATTTTTAGTTTTTGTTTTCCTTTTTAATTTTCTTTTTTTTTTCATGGCTGGCGAGGGTCATCGGTGACCCTCGCCGGATGCAAAGCCCTTCACCGCGAAGGCCCGGGCAAGGCCATCGTGGCCTCGCCGGCAGTGGGCGAGGCCACAAAGGCTGTCGTTAGATCTGGATAGCCGCGAGCAAGGCGGCCTCGCCAGATCTGGCTGTGACGCCTTGCCCGCGACCGCCCAGATTTAGCTACGGCCTTCGTGGCCTCGCCCACTGTCGGTGAGGCCGCGATGCCCTTCGCGGCCTCGCCGGCAGTGGGCGAGGCCGCGAAGGCTGTCGCCAGAACTGGGCGGCCACGGGCAAGGCGGCCTCGCCAGATCTGGCTACGACGCCTTGCCCGCGGTCGCCTAGATCTGGCGACGGCCTTTGCGGCCTCGCCCACTGTCAGTGAGGCCGTGATGGCCTTGCCCGGACCTTTGCGGCGGAGGGTAAGGCGGACCTCGCCCATCTGGGCGAGGGCTTCGCAGCCGGCAAGGGTTGCTGGTGACCCTTGCCGGCATTAAAAAAAAAAGGAAAATAAAAATTCAAAAAAAAGTAATTAAAAAATTCCAAAAAAATAAAAAATAATTCAAAAATATATTAAAAAATTATCTATGTTAGCGCCGGTGAAGCCATGTCGGACGACCAGCATCTATGTCGGATTTTTCGGCTAGACAAATTGCCGATGGCACTTAAGTGATCGTTTTTTCAAATTTATGGCGCTCACTAGTTATGACACTCTTAGTGTTCTTATCCTAAACTTTTCGCATAAGTATTGTGGCCCCGTAACTCGTTTCGATTTTAAAAGATGTGTAACTCATTAACAACACAGCGTGCGTGCGGACCTAGCTGCCGGAAGCACAAATTCTCGCGCAGATTATGTTTAGTGATCGCCTTCGTCCATCAAGTGGTCTATGAATAAGTCCATTCACTATATTGCTCCCGACTTCAATTTTTCTTTCTACATATTGTATTCCGTCCATTGGACAGGCAGCATTTAATCCACCTACTTAGAATGGTACGACAATCACATTGGATCTTTCACCTGCAACATCACAATTATACCAATTCATTAGAATTCGCAACAGGGCCAAAGGTTCACAAAAAAAATCACATCACAAGATATCGGATTCAAACTTTTGGGTAGAACTTCTAAAGTCTGCTCAGCGATCAAAATTCATCCTGAGATCATAAGATCTCCTCAAATCGGTTCGCAATGTGCACGGAACACATTGTTAACATCGATGATGTGCTCTTTCTTTTCCTTTGCTGGGCGCATCGAAAGTAAGCTTGTTTAGTGCCCTTTTTTTAATCTATTTTTTTGCCTTGTTCCGACCTCATTTCTGAATACTTTCTCAGAAGGTGAGAGAAATGAGAGAAAGGAGAAAGAAGATCAAAGAGAAATTTGCCATAGAAGCAGAGGGGGGGTGAAAAAAGAGCGGTTGTTGTGTAGCTAGGAATGTTTGCTGCATCAGTGGAAGTAAAGCGCTCGTGAGTGGAGTGGCGGTGTAGTAGAGTAGGGTTCGATAGGAAACGTGCCATGTCTGCTGCTTTTTTGACCACGAAAAAGATCATCGAAATGAATGCCGTCGGTCTCATCTCTTTTACCCCATTTTGAGCCACCTTTTTCTTGTTGCTGCTAAATCACTGTCTCACTTCCCCTGATCTGAACTGATGTTTACATTGCCTAAAAGCTGTTCATGATCATTGGGTGTCGAAGTTTGTGATGGCGAAGAGCTATGGAGGTTTTCCTAGGGCTTGCAAGAGACTATCGATTGCTTCTTCTGACCCTTGTAAGAGGAGAAGGAGATCTCATGTACTTCAACAAAATAATCACCGAAGCAGGAGTTCATAATTTGGAGTGGTCAAAGGACACTTTACCTTCGAATCAACTCAGCATGGCGGTTCCAAAAGAATACTTCCACCGGACCACGGAACCGGCTACTGGTTTATACACAACTCGACGTGCGAGCGCTTGGGTGATGCGCGAGTTCCTCCCTACCTAGAGGAGAATTTATTCACCGATCTTGTATACTTCTACACCTCTGTCCCTAGTCTATGAGAGTGGTCTCACGGATTCTCTAGATTTTATATCGAGCTAATCAGGAAAAAGCAACACCTCCGCCTGAACTTGGATTACTAACTACCGAACGTGATCTATCAGGAGTGGTCGAGGAACATATATAGGGCGACGCAACAACTTCCCTTTGCAGCTATTAGTCTAAACATCACTGTCCCGCATAATTACCATCTTCCTCCGACGACATACATGGAGAGCTAAGATTAATATGCTTTTAGGGAAGCAGATCTTCGATCCCTGCGAGACTCCTCTCGGCGTCTTAATAAATCCTAACCGTTGACTTTACAAAAACGAGGTTGTCGTATAAGATTGAGATTTGTCGAGACACCAAGGAAAACATCACGCGGGGTCCAATTTTTACGCCTTCTACGTGACTTTGAACATTGCAAACAAGTTGCCTCAGCTTTCCATCTCCAAAACATTATGTTGTCATTTGAAAGTTCATCTGACTCCGAACAACTAGTTAGCTCCTCTAGAGGCAAAGCTGCCACACCAAAGGGCCAACTTCCTTGTGTTTTTGCACTCAATGACTGAATTTGATCTTACTTGTCATGGCGTGAAGAGTTTAGAACATCACAGTTCATTAGAAATCGAAGAAGAAAATTTAATAGATGAAACATGCTCTCGAAGAACCTTTTGGAAGGTTTATTACAGGAAGTGTCGGCCTTTCCTGCTTTGCAGACGCTGTCGCCTCTTACCCATCGACGGTCGGCGACTCGGTTAATGGCAAAACAATCTCTTTCTGGTCTGTAAGACCAAAGCCAACCTTAAACCGACCGAAACTGCAGACTTGTTCTTTCGGTACTTTGCTGAGTCCCTGCCCTGAGTTCTGCATTCCTGATCTTCGACTTTGGTTAAAGGCTTAAAGCAGAATCTGTTCTTCCAATAAGGTACGGTTTTTGTTCACAAGGATTTGTTTAATTTGATAGGATGGATTTCATGGGAGGATTATTAGATTTGGACCCGTTATTAGCAGTCTTTTAGCAATTCTCGAGATAGAGAGTTTTTCTAGAATAAACATTATATTGAGTTATCTATCCAACCAAGTCGTATGTAATTTATTATGTTTCTAAGCATCTTTTATGAATTCTCATCTCCCCACAAAAAAAAGAGAATAGTTATTACATTGATACGTTCTATTAGACCAAATCAATTATATTTAAGGAATTCATGAGGCTCATAATCGATTTATAAAGAAAATCATAAAATTCTTTCACACTTTTTGTATGCGGTTGATTTCTGCCCATTGCCATCTGTGCGAGATTTTGTCGTCTTCGTGTTGGCGAATTTCTTTTGCCCTTGAAGTTTGGTCCCCGCACAAACTTCTAAGGTCTCACACAAAGAAATTCCTAAGACTCACAAAAGATTTCCTCTGAGAAAACCTTCCAATGTGGTATAGCAGATTCTTGACCAAATAGAAAAATCTGAACATGAGGATACCGCTTAGATTTAATGTACCCACAATATTACAACACACTTACTTTCTTTATTCAATGGAGTTGAGATTGCAATTCAAGCTGTGATTCTTAAATTATTGCGTAATTCGATTAAGAACTGGAATCTTGTTCAAAAATTGAATTGAAGTTGCTTCAGAAGAAATGACACGTGGTAATAATGCAAGAATCAAATGGCCAGAACTAATACGCATGCCGTAGACTTATTCTATCCCATGGAGAAAAACCCTAACAATCCATATCCCTCTCTTGGAAGTCTAAATCACCGGTCTCTCTGCCTA